TAGAACACATGTCATTTGTCTCTGCTCTCAACTATCGACGAAATACATGTCTAATACAGCTAGCGCTGCTAGTCAACTTATGTCACAAACGTTTATAGCACTATGTTTGTTGTATAGAAATCAAAACTTTGAAAATATCCAAGACAGGTGAATATAGTTTTGAATTTCTGAGACGATCCATGATTTATGTACTTCTTTGTGACCTTTGTTAGGGTTACGCCCTCCTGTAATAGTTTGAAATTAGCGCTAGCACTGCGTATTTTTCTCACATTCTTCCGTGCACTCGAAATTAGCACCGCATATTTTTTTTTATAATCCCGTTCATTCTTTGGTTTCTTTTTATTCTTTCTCTCCTCCTTTCTCTCTTTCTTAATGCGGGCTGGGAGTTGTGTGGGCAGTAAATGTACGGATTCACAAGGACGCGTAGCGGCTGTCGATAGAACTGCACCCAGCTGCAGGTCCAAGTCACACTTATCAAGCAGAGGTATGGAAGTGACGGCAATAGAATATACGTTATGATAAATTATCGTCAAAAGCCTAAGATTGTAACTTAGTCCTTTCATAGCATAGAACGACCTGGAAGAAATTGACCGTTGAACGTTGAAGTACCGGCAACATATTATAAAAATTCCACGAATGGGAACAGGCCAAAATGAATGCGCGCCTGGACGTCATCAATAAAAAATACTTGGTGTGACCTGAAATCGCTTTATCTACCAACACATAGAACCATACAGCCTATCCTAGCCTCCTACCTGTGGTTAGAAGCGTCATGCCGATGACTTCGCGTGTTAAACTAAGGCGAGTCGTCTTACAGGAGAAGGCGTTGACTCGGAAGTTCCCGGCGTCGTCATAAAGCCTGAGCCCATATTTGATACCCCAGCTACTGATATCGACGTAGTGAACTCCGTACGTTAGGTTGTCTAGGTTGGCGCCGTACCCTGAAAAATAAACATATGGGATTAGAGTTACCCAGACCTATACTCTCCAAGCAGAGGTTTGAGTTTGACTTATATTATTTCTGGCGTGTTTTTACGCTTTTTTTTACCAAAGCCTGATCAGCGTGTTTTTGGCCTTTTTTTCTACCAAAGCCCGATAAAAAAAGCCTAAAATACGATAAGCCAAAACAAAAACCTCTGCTTGGAGAGTACCAGACCTACACCTTAGCACATGTACAAGGAGCTGGCACAAGCTCTGGTCATGTTAAGGAAACGGAGCACTAGTAGTACTAGTACTGTTTCTGTAGTATTCACAGGCCCAAAGTACCAAGGAATGAACCATTCCATTTGATACTGTTCCACTGTTACAGTCTGGTAGACTGCAGGTGTACAGCAGCCACGATCCGAACCCACGACCTTCATTTCCAAATGCAGTATCATTTACAACTGGATTTTGCACGAAATATACAGAATACCTAGAGAGGCAAAATTTGCAAGCAAATACAAGATACAAGATATCTCAGGATTTTACCGGTACCTTTATTGGGGAAGGATGGATAGAAGGATATTTTTCTTAATATATTGCTACTGGTATTTTAGAGTATGCCCATATTTGGAAAATCTGCGTGTTCCGTAGCACTGGGGTCATTGACCCGCGGTCGTCGAACTCCGATTTCGAAGGTTGTTCTAAAATTCGAAACGGGTTCTAAAGTTCGATTTCGGGGTTAAATGCAACTTTTTCACCCATTTTTCCCCAATAAAATATATTTTTTTACATACATGTGTATGTCAGACATAATGACGACGGTTCAGTGCCTTATGTACCGACCTACCAGCTCTAGATATGAAAATATCGATATGTTTCAGGTGATTGGAGAAGACACTGCGCAAAAACTTTCGTTACACATAACAATGCACTGTTCTGAGATGATGTTCAATGATGTCACATTTTCTCTGACCTGTGTCCAACTTGATGCCGACATGGTAGCCATTGATCAATGTCAGGTCTCCCAGGTGAGGCCTACAAAGGGTTTCCGTGTGACCTGTACTTGTCACGTCAACTCTGGGATACTGCATCTCCGCATACAGGTCCACCTTCGGGCCTGGGAAAACCAGAAAAGTCCATAACATACATGAAAGACAAATGTCACAAAAATTTAAAGATTTAACTGGCCACACTGTTACAGGTATACATGTAGAAAAGATATAGTTTTTCTGTAAATGAAGACCTAATTTGCATAATCAATGAGAAATTGCTATAATGTTATAGTAGAAACTGCAGGGAATTTCATACTTGCCGCATTTGGAAGTTAAAGGGGAAGTCCAATACTTTCAGTTTTGGGGCCTTTCTACCCAAAATCCTATTTTTAAATGGTGATTTATTGGTTTCTGCCAACCCCGCACATATTTGCCGTGATATCTGACCCGATCGATGTTTCGCGGCTAGCGCCAGATTGTCCGCTAGGCGGCGCTGCGACTGAATCTGTGACGTAAAAGGTTTCATTCTGCTACTAGCGTAAACAACAATGGCGGGCGTGCAACCCTTCCGATTTGAACCACAAACTGACAGTAGTGGCGACTCTGAGCCCGATCCAGGCGATGACAACGTTTGGGATGGCGGTGATGTGGAGACAGAGCGTTGGAGGTTGGGGAACCGGGACTGGTGCCGGTGTGGAAACGAAGACAATAGAAAATGCCTGTAAATGCCCTCTGTACGGGAGTATTTGTTTTGTTG